TAATTTAAATGTAAGCTAGGCAATTCGCATAATAAAATTGCAAAAGTTGCTGACTATTTGCCTAATAAATTGGCAAAACAGTTGGGCAATAAGTTTACCGTGGAATAAATTGTATAAAAATTAAGTCGAAGTCGAATGTAGATGATATTCATGGTGAGAGTATTTTGTGAGGCTTTTTGCGGGCTTATATATAAGTTTCAAAATATTTCAAAGGAATCGTTTAGCATAAAGGCATATGGAAATTGTATGCAAGCATTGGTATGCCACTTTTAGCATAGTGTGTGTGTTGGTGTGTGTGATGAATGTAGCTACAAAATGGCCGCATTCAGCGCGTGCTAGTTCACTTCTTTCATGCATATGTTGCATTTAATTTAAGCAAATGTATTGAAGGCAGGTGAAGGTGTGCGTGCGTGTGGCTCAGGCTGTGGCTGTGGCCGTGTTTGTATGTGTGAAAGGTCATTGAGCGTGCGTCGTTACTGCATATTCGCATTTGACGCACGGGCTGCCTTCACTGTTAATTATACTTGTCGACACTCTCATTATGCATAAATATGGATAAAGGTGAAACATGGTTTTTTTTGTGCTTTACGCTCGACCTTTCCATGTAATGTCCTTTTTTTTGCTGGACGCGATCCTTCAGTGTTACATTCTTGCCGAGGGTCTTATATTATTTTTGTGAAATATGAAGCAGCATAATTTATATAAAACTTACTACATTTTTATATATGTATTCATTTATTCTTATAGACTTTTCTTTATTTCTCAAAACATATAGGCCATATGTATAAATGAAGTGTAGAGAATACACAGGTTTGTCTCTGGAAATACTCTATATTATTCACTATAATCAAGCTCAATTGTCCCATTATCCGTGTCTTGTATAGAGGAGATGTCCATAAGGGTATTTAAGCTTCGGCCAGTCAGAAAAGGTCATTCTCTATAGCTATTTTTATTCAGTAATAATATGAAAATTAATCACTCAGCTGAGTCCGGGGGAGTGAGCATAAAAGACCTGAGCAGAAAATGTACAACAAATTTATATGACTTTTTAATGGGCATCTAATTAGCTCATTTCGTAGGCAAATGTTTGCCTTTTCGGCGCATTTTGTTTACCTTTCTGATGAGGCAATGTTTTTGTTGTTGTTCTTTTTTTATTTATATTTTTTGGCTGTCATTGTTGCAGCTTTTATTGGTATTTACTTTTGTGTATTTGAGTTTTGACGCGTTTGCTCTTTACGCGTTTTACTACGCGCGCGTAACACGTTGCGCATACGTAATGTAGAGGCGCCTCAAAATGTGCTGCACGAAAATATTGTGAGCCTAATGAAAATTGCGCTGCTGCAGCCGCTTCAGCCTCCGCCGTGGACCAATGCAGCAGTTTTGTCAATTCAGCCAAAGCGGAGGCGCAGGCAAAACAGGGCAAAGCTGGGTGAAACCAGCTTTGAATTCCCGACTTAAATGCCCAATTGGCCGTATAGAAAAGTTTTGCTTTTTATTTTTATATTCAGTTTCATTTGGCGAATGGGGCCACTTGAATGCGCAATGAAGCTGCCGCAAAACTCCAATATGTCAAAAAGTACAAAATAGAATGTAGATGAAAATAGAAGAAAACGTAAAAAGCTGCAACTCGAATACGAATGCGAATACCAACTCGAATTTCGCATAAATTCAGCGCGTACTCTACAAATCCGCACGGTTTTTGGTTGACTATCGCAAACGATTTGTTGGCACAAATCTCTGCTTGATATTCATAAAAACAAAAGAAGAAAAGAAAGGGGACAACTGGGCAGCAGGCCTTAAATAACCGGCAGCTTATTGTTGACTTTAAAGTCCATACTGACACGCCTCTCACCCACCGCCCCTGCCTCATGTCTACTGATTGCCGCACGCCTGCGAAAGTGTTAATTAAGCGGCACAAAAGCCTCGGATGTCGACTTTTAAAACATCATTAAAATTGTCAACTTTTGTTGAGCCTGCCCTCTTGTTGTTGCTGTTGTTGCAGCTGCTGCTTAATTATTTTTATAATTTTCAGTTTTTCCTCGTTATGCTCTGTGCTGTGGCCGTCCCATTAAGTGAACGCTGCTGCGGCGACCACTCGTTAAAATTAATCAATTCATTTAACTTCTTGTTTATATTGTTGCTTTATCTGATTTGCGTGCCCCACAATATATAAGTTGAACTGAATGGCTTATCCTTTTACTGTAAATAGAATTAAATGATCGCCAGCCACATATAAATGCCTAGAATTTTGGCAGCTCAGTCCACATAGCTGGAGTTGAGTTTAGGAATATCTTTTTTAACTATATGATCGAGGCTCCACATTTTTGTAAACTTTTCTTGGAACAGCCAGAGAAAGAGATGGACACTTTGATGTAGACTTGAGTGGACTTAAATATGCTCCTTAAAAACTCTCAGTTTAGTAGCTATGAATTTCCACTATCTACACTAAGACATTGCTCAGCTCATAATTACTTAATTAAATTGTATAATTAATGTTTTATAAATAAGTAATTTTAAGTCAGTTTTTCATTGTCATTGAGCTAGCTTTTATAAAAAATTATTAAATTTCATATTATTTACAGCAATTATAATTGTCAATTTATCTACAATTTGATTAGTTTCGATTGAACACGCTCAGATATTATATAAATGCAAAATTGCTGATTCAAAGCGATTGGCCAAATGTCATGTTTAACCATTGTATAATTATTTAATAATGGCATGAAAAACATGAGTTTAGAGTGAAAATAAGATGTTTTCTTTTAATTACAATTTAGTTATTGTAGTCGTATGACATATTTATGATGGAGTTTTTTAGCATTGAATAGGTCACAGATAATGCGTCTATTAATATCAAAAATTTTGACAGCCTAGTTTAATGAATGCATGTGCCTATATAGTGAATGCATTTAATATCATTGAAATTCAAATCAAATATTAAATTAAAAAATAAAAAAAAATGGAATAAAATATTCATGCTCTGAAAATTTCATTAATATTCGACTCTAAATAACTATACAAAGAAGAAGAATGCAGGTGGTTGCATTTCAATTTATTTAATATATAAATATTTTAATGCATATAAAAAAGGTAGAGCAGATGGCAGCCAACTAGAGGCGCGCAAAGTCATTCGGGGGATTTCCAAAGAGCTTAGCTTAGTTTCGTTTCTCGACTTTGCAAAAATGATCTCATCTAGTTTTTTTGTAAATTTGTTTTTGGTATTTAATTTGCGGGTACTTGTCGGGACTTGTCGAGATAAGAATTGCGCTGAAATAACGTGCTCCCTTGATTGCAATTATTTTAATGGGTTGTTGGCATTTCTTATATTTCTTAAAGCATATGCAATTGTATCGGAAAGTACATTAATAAAAGATTAACAAATTTCAGCTCTAAATATAAAATTCTAACAATTGGATTTATGCTTTGATTGCCTCGAATTCGTACTGAAAACAGTAACACAAATATCATATCGATCAAATTAAAAATAGAAAATAATTTGTTGTTCAAAGCTTGCAACAATCTTTAGAATTGTTAAAAATCACTCATACGCAGTGTTGCCTAGCCCAAAATGTATAAATTGTATCTGAATATAGACATATATATATAAATATACATCTGTTGAAAACATATATTATACACAAAATCTAGAACATTAAAAATGGCATATATTTTTTACAGCTGTCTACAGTTCAGAGATTTTCTCAAAATATATTTACATATATTTACATATATAAATATCTATATTTATATATATGCATGGAAAATACGTAAATATATATGATCTACTTTTGAATAAGCTCTAAGCAATTTTTCTTATCGGTCTTGCTATTTACTATAAGCATTTGCTACGTCATCTGTGCATTGGAGTAAAACTGATACAATTTGTTGCTTTACCTAATTACATATTTTTTTTACGAATTACATTATTAGCTTCTTGTCAAACTAGATGATTTTGGTTGATATGCAAGAAAATACCCTGTGGATCGATCACTTTTTCATATATAAATAAATAAGCATGTAGAAAGACAATCTATGAAATTGTTATTTATTTATTATTATATAAATATTGCGAACTTTAATGCATTTTTATTATATTTTTTGAATAATTTCATGTTATTTTTAACAATTTTTGCAAAAACACTTTTTTGTTACTTTTTAATCAACTTAAAAACAATTGGCTTTGCCCTTTAGTTCAGTTTAATAATTACTTTTCAATTTTTTTAGGAATCTTTATTGATGCATTAACATATTCATTCATGTGGCGTGGTTATTAAAGCTCGAATCAATTACGATTTTTTCCCAGAATTCCTTACGTTCTCATTTCCATTTATTGCTTTAATTTTTTTATCAGTTTTATGACAAATAAGTTTACAGACTTGCTCATATAAAAAAATTCGCATCGCATAATTTTTTGTAATTAGTTTAATGCATAATTTTGTCAGTTCGGCATGCAGCCAAGTTCGGGAAACTTTTATAAAATCAGAGTAATATTCCCTTGCGTTGAAATATGGTCTTTTTCTTGTTTTGATTTCTTTTTTTCTTTCTTTTTGTTTTATAAACATAATTTCACCAGCGTAAGAGCCAAATAAAGTCAAGCGAGCCAAATTTTGTGGTCATAGACAAAACGGAGGCGGCGTCGGCGTCGGCGTCGCCTTCAGAATAAATAAAAGTTACGTTGCATAGGCAAATGGAAAACAAAATTAAAGTTGTAAATGTAGCTTGATATTTGATTACAACTTTAAATTCGTTGCAAGCAAACAAACAAACAATCAGACAGACACATAAAGATAGTGTGAAAAGCACATTAATGACGAATATGCGGAGAAAAAAAAAGAAATAAAAATCAGAATTCATATAGATTGCGCTAAATTGCAAACGTCAACGCAATGGAAATCAGTGTCCGTCCGTCCGCTTGGCCGTCCGTCTGTCCGCCTGTTTGTCTACACATCTGTAGCACTTGTCGATGTGTGTGTTTATTAAAGCACGCGAATGACACTCACACAGCTTCAGCGAACGTGGATACACACACCTACACACACGCGAGAAAGTTGCGCACTATTTGGTCACACACGCGCGACTGTGAAATTAAAGAAAGAGGGCGCCAGAGCCGGAGCAAAAGTTAGCAGCCGAACCGCACGTGGCGACTAACAAGCGACAACTGAATTGTAAACTGAGTCCAAAGCATGCCAAAGCCACATCTGGAACCGTCACTTCTCCAACGCTGAGCGAGAAACGCAGCACAGAGCATAGAGTGAGAAAACCCTGACTGTGCGATGCCGCCAAATCAAAATTGAGCATGAATGTTGTTGCCGGCGAAAGAGCAGAGCAAAACAAACATTGCAAAGAGCGCCGTTATCGTAACGAGTGAGTGCGTCGAATTGAGTGGAAGTTGCTGTTTAAAGGCAACAGGTGTCGCTAGCGGCCTAGCGAAAGCAGAGTGTTGGTCTGTCTGTGTGTGTGTCTGCTTTCGTAGCCAGGCTGAGTGCGTGGGCGTGTGTGTGTGTGCGTGTTTGCAGCTAAATTGACGACAAATTGTTTGGCTTTGAGTGCGTTGCGCGTTTGATGACTCGGATTAAAGTATGTTTTGTTTTGGCTGTTGTCGCCTGGCTTAATATTTCATTAACGTCCGCTGCCTATATTTAATATTTGTTGTAGGGATTGATACTTGCGAACAAATTCATCAAAACGCTAAATTCTAGCGATTTTGTGCTTAGCAGAAAATCATTTATGAATAATCAAAATATGAATTCCAATTTGGATATGTATATGAATTTGTCTTCTTTTCCAGTTGATTGATTAACTTTTGTTTTGCTTATACTTGAAATATAGTTATACGGACAAGCAAAAATAAACTTACGCTTAATGAATAGACACAGCTCATGCGATTGGAAATATATAATTTTTAAATATTTATATTCTTTAACAAATATTTGTTACCAATTTAAAAAAAAAGGTTACATTTCCTAATCCACATTTAACCTATACTTTGGATTTAATTATTGTAACCTTCGTCAAAAGGACAAACTAAATTTTAGAATTTCACACCGAACAAACCTCAGGGCAAACCCGCAGCTTGTCAATTAATCCAATTAGGCCAAACAAACCTCCGAACAAGGGACAGTAGATAGGGGACAGATGACAGTAGATGCTGCAAAAAGATAGCCTTAAAGTTAATGCGCCGCACCGAAATCAAGTGCTTTGACCAATTAACAAAACAAATTAAGGAACTTTGAAAAAACTTAGAAAGAATTTTAATGCTTCTCTTGGCGAAATTAAAGAAAATATATAATCCAGAAACTTTGTCAGCGCAATTTAGATCAACAATGAGTTAAACGGCATTTATTTTGCTAGCCAAGCCAAAAGAGGAATCGAGTGAAGCCAAGGACACATTTTGCCCACAGGATAATCAATTATGCAACACACAGCACAGCAGCTGCGAGAGCACGCAAAGTACAAGAAGAAGGAAGCAGGAAGCAAGCAGCAAGAAGCAAGCTTTTAATACTTTAATTGCTAGGAACTTAAATTATGCATAATGAGTATTACGTGAATCATAATTGCGCTTTTATTATGACATTGATTTGTTGTCCGGGCTCGCTGCATAGCCAGATTAGCCAGTCAGCACTTAATCGGCTTAATCAAATAATCATATTAGGCAATCGCCATCAATCAACTAATGTGGTGGGTGGGCTTTACAAGCAGGCGTCTACAATAAATTCATCACAGTATATAGTAAATACAACAAAAGACACGAGACTGAACACAAAATCAGTTATCTAATTGAAAATTGAATAATGGACTTGTACAATGTCGAGAATCGCTTGATGATACTGGAATGCCTCAGAGAGAACTCGGCCAATATGCGCATCGAGCAGGCTAATTTACGTGATCGCATTACGCAGGCCTTGGTGCGGGCACGAACTAGTCTGCTGTGCATTCGACAGCTAAACATTGAGCTGCAGGAAATGAAGCTGACTGTGGACAATGCATTGGCTAACGACTTTCAGGATTTGGCCGACTACGACGGCCCAGAAATAGATGAGATTTCCGAAAATATATTGGAGCAGCCTACGATCGAAGTGCTAGATGAAACCGCACAAGAGTCTCCCAATGGGGCAAGTCCAGATCAGTTGAATGAAAATGACACGGGAATACGCTAAGCATTTGTGTCTGAGAGGAGGTCCATTAAGCCTTTAAGTTATATTTTTAGTGCAAAGTTTTTGTTTAATGAGTCCATATTAAAAGTTCGCCAACCGCAACAATTCGAAGCATGAAAACCACAAAAGCTTTGATATATTTGCAGAGGGTAGAGAATAATCGATAAGGGGGTAAGTATTCATATATTATTGACTGACATTTTACTTCAAATTAACCAGAATTTGCTTATTCGTTTTATATAAATACGTCGAAACTAGAGAGAGAGAGGGAAAAGTAGAAATTTTTTGCTGTATTCATTTTCAATTAATAGTTAATTTTATAAACATTTTCGAGTGATACGAACTTCCTTCAATTGAAAAGTCCTAAAAAAAATATGTGAGACACTTTTTTTAAAATTATAATTAACTTATATTCTTTAATTTAATAGAGATTTTGTAGTTTTACCAAATATAAATATTTTAAATTAAATATTCGAAATATCTCTAAAAATATTTAATTTTATTGATTAAACTGAGCAAAATTGTTGTCGCATAATGAAAAACTCACAAAGCTGACGTCTGCCTCGCTTGGCTACTTTGCCTAGTGCGCCATAAATCACAGTTCAACAGCACCAATATTTCAAACCCAAAATCCAATGAAGTGCGTTGGATGTGGATACCTTAGTTAACTGGATTATGCATGCCAATCAATCAATGATTTTTTCGGTATCACAAAATTAAGTGTAAATATGTGCACAGCCTGAAAAGTAGAACTGTAAGCTGTCAAATTTGTGGCTTCAGTGTCGGTCTGCCGTTGAGTGACGGGATTACGTCTCGTATGCGCAATATTTATTGTAAATACGTTTTGAAAAACAAAATTAAATTGTTCATCCTCTCCATTTTCACATGAAAACACTGCAGTTAGTGCCGTTAGCATATAACCTGAAACCAAAGATGAGCTAAATGAACAGATAAATTGTTTTTTTTTTTACTTTACTTTTTACTTTTTACTACTTTTTAAATTTTATAATAAGCATATTTAAATCTTTCGAAAGCTAAACAACAAGTGCTTTCCACTGTCCCTTGTCTCACTAAATATTTATGAAATGAAAGTCGCTAGCCAAAAAACCTTTTCTCTGGTCGTGAACAAATGCATTCGATATTTGACTGTAGCAGCTTTTGCCTGCTGCCCGCGTGTGTATTTGAGTGTGTGTGCGTGTACGTGTACGTGTGTGTGTGTGCGTGTCTGCATTCATGCATATCGTAAGCCGATAATGCAATGACAATGGCGCCATTGAGCAGCACTTTCAGCCCAAATCGGCTTAAAGTCTTTTGACTTCGATTCGCTTAGTCACGGCTTAAGTAGATACTGTCAATTGGCGGACCATTAAATCGATAGTTTTAAGCCTTGAAATTAGTTTTGACTGCAGCTATATATTAAATGAATTTCATACAGAAATTCTTGGAAACAAATAACTCAACTCACTCCCAGCTGAGGTTTCTTTGACATTTCAATTAGTTAAGTGACAAGAGACAAGAGCTCGTTGATGCAATTTGAAAATTTGAAATTTAATTTAAAAATAGCGTAATTTCAATCTGCTTTCATTATTGTTTTAAGCGTCTATTTCATTTTGTTTTTATTATATTTTTAATCACAGTTTGATCATTTTTTCACAAGCTTTGACGTGCAGCAGAGGGGAAAAATAATTAATAGTTTTATGAATTTTTTCAGCTGGCTGAAGACAATTTTATTAAATTTGCTGAGCAAAATTTTTTGTTTAATATTGACTAGCCAATGGAATTAATTGAAAAATTGCTGCAGCCAATAAGTCGGAAGAATGCGAAAAGCTTGTCTTCTTTTCGAGCTGGTCGCCTAAACTTTGCTCATTATTCAATTGGCTATGGACAAACTACGTTCAGTTAGCCGAAAGTCATATGACTCGAGTGTGCAACTCGAAAACTTTAAGTCAGCTAACAAACTATACAACTATCAGTTGCACCTGCCGCAACACGAACAGGTGTCAACAACAAAAGCGACATCAAGGACAGCCGCATCCCATCCCATCGCATCGCATCGCATCGCATCGCGCTTCTTGTCGCTTATCTAGAGACAAGTTTGGAGTCAGTTTAGTGGCAAGCATTTGTGGAGACATTGATTTTCGCAACACGTATGCAGTGGCTTATACTTGGCTTGCCTTAACTTTGCTTGCACGCAGATTACGCATACGCAGCGTTGCTTAATTGAGATAATCTGAAAGCCTTTGAGGCTCTCGAGCTTCATAAAGTTGTGCAAAAACTTTTATTGCTTCTTAAATCAACATCTGCTGTTAGATCAAGGCGACGATAGCTCATTTCTGATTATTGTAGTATTGAGTCTCAATACAGACAAAGCATATTTACTTAAAACTCTCTATCTGTGTTGCAATTGTCATGCATAATTTCATCCTTATATTTCTGAGAGTTTTACAGTTTGTTCTTTAATATAACTAATATAGGCATCATATAACAAGAGAAGCTTCCATTGTCACTCAGACATATGTATGCCATATATGTATATAGCGGAGAAATATACATTTATGCAAATATTTATAAGTTGATGCTTTGCTTATATACAAACAGATATTTTAAAACGATTTGCTTAGGTCTTTTTCTTGCCTGCTCAGATCGCCGAATACCTTTCTAATAGGCTACTATTTTTAACAAGTCAAAATACTCTGAAATAGTTTCCTTTTGAATCGCTTAACAAATGTTTTCATTGACTTTGCTAATTGTCTGAGTTTCTAATTTATTTATAGTTTTGTAAAGTGCAACGTGAGGCAGCAAAAACAAAGGCATTCTGTCAATATCCGCAGAACTTCTTTGAATCACCCGCACACGGGCTGAAATCTTTTGTATATACACCTAATATAGCGGGCACAGCCGGCTAGAGAGCTCTCTTTTATTAGTTTCATTTTTGGCTTGGACCGATTTTTGTTGATTTGCTTTTCACTTTTCGCTGGCAATTTAATTTTCGTGCTTTCCTTTATGGTGCGATGCTTGCGTTGTTTAAATTGTTTTTCTATTTGAGGTTGCCCGCCCTCGGCATGCGAACAGACAGTCGCAGAGTCAGTTCCCTAGTCAGGTATCCATTACAGTTGCCGTCAGGTAGCGTTAGAGCCACGCCCTGCTGCACAGTAATCGCCGCTCCGAGCTTTACGAATTTCGTGTTGGTAGCTTTTTATTTGTATAATTGTTAGAGATAAGTGTAGCTAGACGAACGGAGGAGGAAGAAGGGAGAGTGAGATAAAACAAGGGTCTTCAGAATGTTTTTACTAAATATATTATTCTGAATTTGTTTCAAGCAATCCCATTATTCGCATGCCTGAATTCAAATAGTTTGAAAGACAGAGCGAGAGCGAGATCTTGGGATTTTAAAAATTGAAAAATTATATCTGCAGCTGTTTGTTCACTTCTAAAAAGGGTTTCTCATATTTGTATCTGAAAGCTTGTCAAATAGTTGCAGAAGGTCGAAGCTGAAAGCTAGAAAAGTAAGTGATTCTAAAGGTAAGTTGTGGGTAAATGAGTGTGTGAACAACTTAGAACTGTAAAATGTATGTGAGAATATGAAAAGATAAACTTGATTTCACACGAAAGTGAAAAATAAAGATATTGTGGAAAAACTATTCAAAACTGTTTGCTGTCAATTGAGGCTGTTCGACATAGTTTTGTTTATATACAATAGTTTAGTTACTAAAATAAATTTATATAGTTCGCCTTGAAATTATTTTTAAACGACATTCGAAATTGTTTCGTGTGATACACGTCGAAAAAACAGAACAAAAATACACACAAACATTCACGTAGAATGATCCAAACCGAAGATCGAGAACTTGATCGGGCGCTGGAACTTTGTCAGCTGATACAGAACGATCTGCGCACTTGCGTTAACATTGTGCAGCGTTTAGACCAGAAGTATAATGAGCCGGATCCCAATAAAAGTGCAACCATGCCATTACGTTCCGATATGATAGGAGAGAATACATCATTGTCGGCTATTAGTTTGGTCAGATCGTCAAATATTTCGCTGTCCACATTCAGTCTGGACAGCTGTGGTAAGCTGAAGGTGGAAGGTCGGACGTCCCATGAGCTGGACTACATCTTTGTTGATCTCACAAGTAAGGCAATCAGAGTACGCCGCGATCTCGAGGCGGCTACTGCCCATACACAGCGTATTACGGATTGCAGTATGCGTCAGGAGCCTGTACAGCATCGGATGCTGCGTGATGCTCGCGGATCTAAAACGTTCATCTGCAAGCACTATAGCAAAAATAAGGTACAGAAAAGGAGTAGTTCGAAAAGGATGTGGCGGCTACAGGATTACATCAATGTACCGATGCTCAGCAACGAAACATTGCAGATGACATTTTGTCGTTGATAGTTATTATTGGCATTTTAGTTTTTTTTTTCTTCTCTGTTCTAGTGTTTTGCCCTCCGTTAAAGACCAGTATTAATGCCACTTTTTAGCTTTTATTAAAATTTTTGTCACCATTAAATAAGCGAAAACGTTGCCAAACTTACACAAAAACTCATTTGACTTGACATTAAAATCACGAAAAGTTCTCTCTACTCGCTTCGCTGTCCTAAGTGACAACATGGATGCAGGATGCGAACAGGAGGCATACATATTCGCGACATGTTTCAAGCGTAAGTTTCTCGTGTTCTCGCAATGATGAACATGATTATGATGATGATGACAACACAACAACAACAACAACAACACGGCACAACAACAACAGCAGCGTTACATGTTTACGGCCGCAAATGGAAGCTCGAGCTGAGAGATATGAGGAAAATATGAGAAAGCGCTCTAGCTCCGACGCAAAAGTTGTGATAATATAAATGCAAAAGTGGCCAAAGGCCCAGGACCTAACTTTCGAACAACATTCCCAAGTTGCCTCATTTTGAATTTCTTTCTTTATTTTTGCCTGCCTGCTGCTTGCAAAGAAAACAAAAAAACAAATGGCTTCTCCTTTAAAACTAGCAAAGGCAAAGGGGGAATTCAGTACTTTGCCAACACGACGTTGTTGTCCCTAACTGGATGGCCAACTGGCCAACTGGCCAACAACGGCGAGGACGTTAAACAGAACTTTGCATATTTCAAGTTACATCCATGGAGTTAGTGCAATGAGCGATGTATAAATGCACACACAACACAAGTAACAGTGCTCTCGACGAGCATACGCCACTGATAGATACCCTGTAGCGAACTAACTGCACCAGCATAACTAGATCTCAGAGTTAGATATGGTAGCAAATGAGCCTGTGAAAAGTATTCAAATTGTGTAGCTAACGATACAAGAGATAAATTTCTGATTGTCTTCAATTCGCTTTCCACAGACTGTCACAAGTGCAGAACGTCGAAAGAACTACAAGCTTTGACGAACTGAAAGGAGTATATTGGTGTTCCTTTATGCTCATGTTTGACACAAATGAATTGGTATATAGTTATTGTTATGTTAACATTTTTTGGGTACGTTTTGAGTACATTTTAGGAACAACTTTTTCTCCCACATTCTTACAGCTCGTGCGAAAGCCTGAAAATTCAGTTGCCATTCACCTTTCATTTCTTCTGGTTCAGAAGTTTCTTAGAGCCTTGTTTGCCTCCTCAAATTCTCAATGCATACTAAAATTCTCAATGTTTGAATAAACGTGAGCGAGCATTATGCAGTCTGCTATGATCGACTGCAGCGCTCTCACTTATTTATGTATTTATTTAATGCCTTTGGCTATGGAAAAACTTCATTTAGCTTTACTTTTATATTTATTAACATAACGAATGAACGAACACAAGTTGTCTCAAGTAACGATCTTAAAATAAATTAAATTATATAAATAAAGATGTTTCAATTTTTTATTTTCTTTATGCTAGGAATTCGATGTAGACATTTTGATCTGAAGTGATTCGTTACAAATAATCATAAATTAGCCGAGTCTTTATTATGAGAGCTGTGCGAAGAACAAAGCGCAGTATGAAATGTTTTGTTATGAAAGCTATATTGAATAACTGTAATATATGTTTGCTTAAAGAATTCGAACTTCGAATTGTACCCAAGTGCAAAAGGTATTATGCCACAAACGCTAAAGACTAAGCGGCAGAAAGCAAATGCGGTCTTTGCCTTCAGCCCAATGAACAAAACCAAAGCAGCTGCTAAATATATGTGTAATAGTATATGCACAGCAGCTGTCTGTAAGCAATGTTGACTAAGGGTTTAGTACTGAGTCAGAGTGTGACTAGCAAGTATTAGATTCATTCATATTTATAAAAATAGAATATATAATTTAAGCAAAGTCAACAACTTTTGCTAGGAAAATTTTAAATTGAAGAAGTTCTCGTAAGATAAACTCAGTTACCCACTTAATTTCTATTTTTAGATACTTAATGGGCAACCATCTAGCTTTACTATCGGGTCAACACTTAGCTGGCAATGAGAAGGACTTGAAACTGATACACTTCTAATGTGCTGAGGGCCATTGAGCGTCCGTTTGGTTGGCTAAGCAACGGCAAAGGTGAAGGGCAGGAGTTGCAGAGAGGGCAGAATCTCTAAGCCTAATTCAAAGTCGGAAATGTGCTAAAAACCGCCAAATGGATTTCCACGTTTGCACTCTGCATGTGTGTGTGTGTGTGTGCTGTTAGTATCTGTGCCGCTGAATGCTTTGTCGTTGTGTATGCCGCAGCCCTGGCAGCAAATTGTTGGCGTTTGTTCAATACCAACACAGAAATTTGCCTTTGTTTGCCAGCACTGGCCGACGTGTGTCGGGTCGAGTCGAGCCAACCTCTAGCCGAGTAGACGAACCGGGTCCTTTTTGCTGGCCATTTAGGATTTGCCATTACAAGTTGCTTAATTAAGATTTCCTGCGGGTCTGTTAGTCGCTTCAAGTGTTCAATACAAATGGTTTGTGTTCCTTTTGTCTATAGACAAACTTAATGACGCAGCAGCAGCAGCGTCTGGGGCTGATGTTGAATAATAACAACTGCTCGGGATATACGGGCCTCAATAAATATGCAATCAAAGGGACAGTCAAACTTATCGACTGTGCGTGCATAGCTGTTTAGCCAGGCATCTGCCAAAAAAGGAAACATCTGCGACTCCATAAAGTCAATATTTGCTATAGTCTAAATAGTAAGTCAAGCTAGAGAGGTACAACTGTCTATCCGACTAGCTGACTAAAGTATTTTAAGATAATCACATAACATGCAGAGTTAATTTTTTTAATTTCTTCACTTTTTTAATTTAACTTAATATTGTTATTTGAATAATCATTGAGTTTTAGAATGAGAAATTGCCGAACCACTCTGAAGTAATAAGTAAAATTGATTTACTTCTTCCCATAATTTTGGAGGTCTATCTGAATATTTTTATGCATTCATATAGTCTCAAGAACTTTTCACAGTTTTAATTTTCAGCTTGAGCAAACAACAAACAGATGGATAAACAGCGAAAATAATATTACACAAAACCAAATAAACTTATCTCTTCTAGTTAAATGGAATTTCGTATTAAGTTTTCCAAAACACAAAAACTTCTGCTTAAGCTCAAAGAGCTCAGAGTATGTGGAGTCAAATATTAGTGAATAGTACGTTCTCAATTCTGAAGCTTATATACTTACACTTACTACATAGTTTATATATCCATACTCATATTTGGGATATTTTGCTATATTTAAAAATAATATCTTGCCTTAGTCAAATCTGCTGAATGACGCATGAACCAGGCCATAAGAAGTGTGCGCCATTTCACAAACAATTTGGTCCTCAATATGTCGGGCCCTCAGGACACTGTAAGGACTTCCGTCTGAATAAATATTTAATCAATCAATTTCGACAATTTCTTTTGGCTCGTCAAAAACGCACACAAACTAAACGGGCCAACAAAGCTAGAAACAATAATAATCATAGACACAATGATAATAACAGCGATGATGACGGCGACGATGATGACGCTATTACTGCTGAGGCATAAAACAAGTCAGAGACATCAAATTGATTTGATTGAAATGTTAATTTCGTAGGAGTGCCGACAAAAGAATTGTGTCTGGAGCTGATTTCCATAAGCAGCAGCCGCATCAGCAATCGAGATAACTGGACAAGCTCATTGAGAGGATGTCTATAAAGGACTTAGTCATTCACAATGAACTGGACCTGCCTAATGACACAGCAGCTTTCGGTAGGTCCCTTTGCTGGTCTGCTCCTAAAACTCATCAGTGAATTTCCGTTTCACGGCGATTCACTTTAAGTTCAGCTTCTATTTCTGCTTTAGTTTCTGGTTCTGCTTCTGCTTCAGTTTCAATATTGATTTCGATTTCGATTTCGATTTCAATTTCGTTTCCCGTTTTCGTTTTCGTTTTCAATTGAACTGACTTTTCCATGAATGCACATTTCTCCGGACCGAAAACGGATTCTGATGCTCGTTCCCTGCCGTACGTGCGATTATCACAAATGCTATTAGTTCAGTCTCCTGTTATTGACAGTTGCTTTGAACTTTGGATTATGTTTGATGTGCCAGTCGATATATTTTGAGCGTTTGCGGCTAACCGTAGAGTCCTCAGATGAGTGACGTTTCACAAATTCAGGCATGCGAGACACGCCCACTTCTGGTGGCATTTTCCAATTGAATTTCACTTAGCACTTTCCACTTCGATTTAAGGACTTATGTAGATAGACAGCTAGTTTAAACAATGCTTTAGAAAGTCGTAGAGTTCACTTTTTAATACATTTTTGTTCACATTAATTAATTATTAATCAATTAAGCTTAGGCAAATGCTCTTTGTTATCATAGAGAAATTTATTTTAGTTGTGCATAATTTTACTTTATTTCACGCACATTCCTTTTATCCAGCTTCAATAACAAATGGACAATGTATTAACCAATATCTTACACTTTTAATCGAATATATAAATATTTCCAATTTTCTTGACCCCAAAGACTTAGTAGATCTACTCCATTGTTGAGCGTTGCCTCAAATAAAAGCTGCAAATGCATCTATGCTCAGAGCTCCTTCCCCCGGGGCATTATTTTGACAAAGCCAAAGACAAGTTGGTCGACAAAAGTTTTCCGTAAATATTTCACTTCCGAATAAAATTAAGTCTATTGAGAGAATGGCATAGCATTTAGTGCCAGAAAATATCAACATATTTATTATGAATGCAACTGGTAGATTGCGGAAATTTGATCAACTCTTTACTTTTTACTAGTACACTGAATTTCGTGACAATGGCTCCAAATATAGATCGACGTGTTATCGTGTAATCTTGCTGCTAACATAATTTAAAAATGGTGAAGATATTTCTTAAATGTCAAAAAAAAAACCATTTAGTGAATAAAGTATAAACCACTTAAAGTTGAGTCTTCGAGTTATCCTCAACGGTCTGACAGGCAACCGAGTCCCCTATACGCTCCGAGATCAGGTTCAGGGTTGGCTTTGCTGGTGGCTCAGCTTGAGCGCATCCAATGTCTCCTATGGCATCCTTCAGTTCGACCTCAGGCAGTGCTGCCCATTCCAGTTTGTTGTTCTGCTTGAGTCCCACATGCATATGTCTTAGACCCGAATTCAGACAAGTCATTCGTTCGACAATGCGTGTGACCCGATCTTGTATGACCTGCAGCCTGTCGTGGTACGCCTGAACATTAATCGCGTGCGAGAACAAGTCAGCATCAACAGAGGCACCACACTCCGAGCTGTCAGCTGTGTCACTCGTCTCGCTCTTTCTCATTTTCTTATGCACAGTCGGGCTCCAATATTGAGCATCTTCA